AAGGCCTCCTTCAGAGGAGGCCTCCCAGCTCTCTTTAGTAGGCTCACCCACCCATATGCCTGCCAGGCAGAGTTAGGATGTCTCCCTTGGCTGCCGCCTGCAGAGGTAAGCTGCTTAGCTCTCATGCCTTTACTTGCGCACATGCCTGCCCCTTGGAGCTACAGGGGCTTCTTCAAGGGGAAGATGCATGGGTAGGGCTGTGACTGTTATGCAGGGGACACAAACTTATCAAGACCAGGACCCAAAAGGGGGGTTGCAACTATTATGCTATGGCAACTATTATGAGATGAAATACAGTAGTTTTTTCTAAGTTCTGACTGTGAATTCATTGACCATGCAGTCTGAGGACCCTGCAGTCCAGAAAAAGTAATATTTCCAGGCTCTTGAGAAAGGAATCAGCCCATAAAGTTTGATAAAAGCATACAAAATTGAAAGGTAGCTCTGGACAGTAGTAGAATCTTACAGTCTCCAATGAGTTAACCTTATAACAAAAGTAATAGTTCGTATTGCTTCTGATGTAGAAAAGTTAATTAAGGGCACTCTTTGAACATGTTTACAAAACTTAAAAATGAATTTTATGAATGCCTAGGTGATCTTTTAACAAGTGTTTTCTGAATTGGAATACAGGAACATTACATTTTTACATCTCTAAACTAGTATGCATGAAAAGATTTTAAAAAATGTTTTATGAACTCATAGGGAGAGTAATCCAGAGACACTTTACTGGCATTTTACACTGCCTGCTCATTATAAAGTGTTATTAAATAGCAACTAAATCAAAGCATTAAAGTTTAAATTAAAGAAAATTCTAGATCCATTTAATATTTTTATCATATTTAAATGGCACATAGAGCAAAAAAAAGTTTTTTAAATGTTCAGGAAGAACTGGATCCATGGCTTCAAATCTAATGCATGGATAATATACAATATATTAAATTGTGTTAGAAGTTGCACTGAGTTCATATGATGTCTATTGAAAAAATAAGGAAGAAAAACATGCAATGAATTCTAGAAGGCTTTCATGGCCAGAATCACTGGGGTGTGGTGTGGCCAGCCACAGATGCAGGTGAAACGTTAGGAAAAAATGCTACTAGAATACTGCCAAACAGCCCAGAAACCACACAACACCCATGGAATGAATTGTTTGCACGTATTTCATTTGAGAAGCTTTTGTATATATCTAAGCTGTATTTTGTCTGGAAAGTTTTGGGATGGGGCTGAGCTCACAAAGCTGATGAATTTGGTTCTATTTATGAGGAAACATGCACACAAACATGCTGCCATGTATGTCTTCCGGGGAAATGAAGAAAAGGTAAGAACTGCATCAGGTTCCATCCACCTATCTTTGGTCCCATTTTAAAGTGGAGACCAGAATGACGAGAGTTGGAAGGGACTACAAGGGTCATTTAATCTGATGTTCTGGCAGTGCAGAAGTCCATGACAAAAGGATCCTTAAGAAGTATACATCAATATGGGAGAAGGGGGATCCCCACCCTTCTCCTTGGTCATATGGATTCCTTTGGTGATATCAACAAAGACACCGAACAAAGGCCAGGGACCCTCCTGGGCTCTGCAACTGCTTTATTTATTTATTTATTTATTTACAGCATTTTTACCCCACCCTTCTCAACCACCACCCCCCCCGGGGGGGGGGGACTCAGAGCGGCTAACAGACCACCAGTCCAGAAAAGGGCAACAATCTAACAGGACCAAACTAGGTTCAGCCTGACTAGATAGTCTACTTGGGGGCAGAGTGTAAAAACAGTTCTGCTGAATCTGAAGCTGCTTCGAAGCAACAATGTTCCACCTTACCCTGGATGTAAATGACCATGTAGATGACCCTCAGTCTTCTCTTCTCCAGGATAAACATACCAAATTTCCCCTATAGTAGAGCTTGTTTCTAGATCTTTCGCCATCATGCTCTTTCTTACTGATTTCTTTGTTAAATAATACTTAAAACTGGATACAATAGTCCATGGATGAAGGTGGATCATACCAATGTAAATGGAGTCACATCACCATTTCCACCTATTGACCTGAGGAACAAATGTAACTTTCAGGACAATGGCCTGTAAAGTAAACATGTTCAAGTTTACATGGGAAACTAGGAATATAGTTTACCTCTTTTCAAAAGCCTAAGGGAAAGTTTCAAAAATCTAGTCCCAAATGTATCTACTTCTGTTTACTAGCTTCTGATCTGGGCTAATGCCTAGTTTTCGAGGGAGTGTATATCCAACGTACAGCTCTTTTAATTTCTATTAATTCTTTGGGGGAGAAAATGAGCCACTTTTTTCTTAGAAACATAATGTTAACTAGTATCGAGTTCTTGCTGCACATAACTGATGTTCATCCTTAGACATGCCAATTCTTCTAATTATCCTTTCCTTTCATCACTGTAGATTGGGCTCCTCATTTCAACATGCACAGTTCAAGAATCAATGTTTTGCATTAAACAAGTCATATTTAAATAGGAGAAGGGGAGCAAAACCCCTGAAAAAACTAGGCTAAATGAATACTGCTTCTCTGCATAAGCTCTTGATGGGTTTCCACCATGTCTAAACAACAGTAACCTACTGTACAAAGCTGTCACAATTATTCCCTTCAAGTATTCACAGCATTTAAGTATCTAATTTATGTAGTGTAATAAATATGCACCCCAAAGGTGGATCATGTCTGTTATAGCAAGCTCAGTTTTCAGCATCTCAGTATTGACAGACTGTTAGAAGCACTAAAAGGCTCCAAGTAAATATTTAGCATTTCTTCACAATACTATTATAACACATTCTCAGAACATTAGAAACAGTAATTTGTTAATATCCCACAGGAGCCCTGCAAGGCAGGTGAACATAAAATTGGTGATTTAGAAAAAAAATAGTGATATTATTTATACACAGAGAGACCACAAAATATCTGACGTGCAACATGCAACTTAAGGAGCAAGAAATATATGTTAAAAAAATGGGGGGGGGGGGGAGAGAGGATGTTTTTTTGCTAAGATTACTTGATATTATGTGCCAAATTCACAATGATTTATTCTGTGCCAAATTTGCAAACATTGGTTTGCACATAAAACAAGTTTTTATGCAAAACAAAAAAAAGTGAAAAATCATGTTTTGTGCACAGAACATGAAATAGCTACTTCCATTTGGTACCAAATTCTCAGTATGGTTCATTTTCATGTAAAGCAGCACTGTCAGTGCAAGAAATAGAATTTTCTCTACAGAAAACTATTTCTCCTTCACATCAGCCATAATGCAAAAAAAGGCATATGGGTCTAAATCCAATTGCTATTCCCAAAAGAAGCAGACCTGACTAAATCAACCACTGAAATATAAGTCAACATTTACAGAAATCTCAAAAGTTTATTGGTTCTACTTTAGTTGGGATTGACAATTGAATTCAGACCTTTACAAGTAAAGGCATGTAGTGGTAGACTTTCAGTATCACCTTTTTGTAAACTTGTTTGTGACCTCCCTGTAAATAAGACTAGAGCCAAACTGAACAAATACAAACAGAGGAACATGGCACATCAAATGTCATTCTTGGGTAACTGACCAGGGAGTAGAGAATGGATTTGCCTTAGGTTATTTTCCTGAGAATTTGATAAAGAAAGCTGATGGCTCTCCATCAACACAATTCATTGAGACAAGGTTAACAGCAACCACTAGTTATCAATGAGCTCAATGGAAAGTTCAAATTATAACAGGTGCTCCATGGTATGTCTGTGTGCTGTTCTTATTTTGTGAATTTGTTTTAATGACCTCCCACCCCCAACACACATACACACAATTGGTAATACAGTGTGACTGAGACCAATGTCACAGGTTGGTTACTTGGCCTTCATTACTGTAAATAATAATAATAATAATAATAATAATAATAATAATAATAATAATAATAATAAACTTTATAGTCCACCTTTTCTCCCCAGAGGGAGTCAGGGTGGTTTGCACATAAGGCAAACATTCAATGCCAACAAAGAAACATATAATAAACCACATCAAAATATGATACATCACAGAATATAGAACAGCCATTACAATGGACTTAATACCAAAAAGAAATTAACCAAAAATAAAACTAGACAATCCGAGAGACATATAGGCTTTCCTATGTCAGCATAATTTGTTTTAGTAGCTTGCCATAAAGAGGAGTTTTCATTAGGAGTGGCTCTCACAAACAGAAAACTATTATTATGAGAAAGTTGGATGAGGTTCAACATTACATTGCCAACTGGGTGCAGATGTATGAACATTTTGTAAATTCAGGCGTTTTTTAGCTTTTAAAAGTGGGGTGTCATTTTTTTTAAAAAAAATGGAACCTACAATCACATTTTTCAACAGTTTCATACTGACATTCTTAATTTTGGGTCACTTGTAGTAACCAGGCCCAGATCTGCATATACAGCAAAACTGCTAAGTTAGATACCATACTGTATCTCCATGTTTTATACTGGAGTATTGGAACCAGTTTCCATGCCCTCGTAGAGATGATTCAGAATTACATATTCTATCATGATAGTCATGACTACCAGGGCTATAGAATTAGAGCCACAGATAGAAGTAATTTTGAAATCAAAGTGGGAATCAGTACTTATGTACCAGCTGAGGATTGGAAACAGTAAGCCACCTGCCCTATTATGATTTATCTGCAATGATTCTAAATATAAAATAAAACAAAATATTCCCATTTCATAACTGTTCTTATGAAGGAATACCTGGCCTTATGAAGTGATCTGTAGAAAAACAGCTATAGTTCCCATAATGACATCATTATGGATATTGTTCAGCAAGAAAATATGCATCTAGAGAAAGTGATTTCCTGGGTTGGCAATTGCTAGAGGCAATCTGAATAATCAGATTGCTAAATATATTATCTACTCTTCCAAGAAGGCACATTAATACCTATTTCCAGTGCAAGTGGCAAATATTCTTTAGAAAGAAAGAAAGAAACCAAAAGAAGAACTGAAGCTGTAAATACAGTGTTTTTTCCTGTCTTACCAGAACGGCGATGATGCTGGTCTTCTAGGAATTCCAAATCAAGCATGAGGTCATCTTCATCCAAGTCACAAGAACCCAAGTTATTCAGAACATCCTGTAGTACATAAAAATGAAAGTTTAGGAAGGGAGTCTAAATGTATATTAAGAAGAGAAGTGTAATGGGGTTATCTATGTATTTATTTAAACTTCATTTTTATCCCACTTTTCTTCCATAGGGCAGTGGTTCTCAACCTGTGGATCCCCAAATATTTTGGCCTTTAACTCCCAATAATCCTAACAGCTGATAAACTGGCTGAGATTTCTGGGAGTTGCAAGCCAAAACACCTCGGGACCCACAGGTTGAGAACCACTGCCATAGGGACTCAAGGTTAGCTAACAACAACATGACACAATCAAATAAAAAAGAAGACAGATACATTTTTTAAAAAAAAAAAACAAATATTTGTGTCATGGACATAAAAGCTAAAAGACAATTAAAGTTAGAGTTAAAAGCTAAACATGCCCCTTAAAAAATGCCACACAAAACCTCCCCAGCAGACTTCCTCTCATCTTCCCCCAACTGCCTGATAGCAGAGATATTTGTTTACCTGCCAGAAGAAAGCAGGCAGGGATAATGTGGCCATCCTAATCTTTCTTGGGAGGGAGTTCCAAAGTATATGGTGCTTTAATTTAATTATATGTTTTTTTAAAAAATGTATGGATTTTTATAATGTTGTTTTAAATTTTTTAATTGTATTTTATGACTATTATGGCATCAAATTGCTGCCAACTTGAGTCACCTCCGGGCTGAGAAAGGCGGGATAGAAATATCATAAATAAATTAGGTAAAGGTTGTCCCCTGACATTAAGTTCACTCATGTCTGACTCTGGGGTTTGGTGCTTATCTCCATTTCTAAGCCAAAGAGCCGGCATTGTCCATAGACGCCTCCAAGATCATGTGGCCGGCATGACTGCATGGAGCACCATTACCTTCCTGCCATTATAATTTCAAACAACTAGTTGTTTGTATCTACTTCCTTCAATACACAGCTCTGTTCCAAACCAAAGCTTTAAAGATTTGATTCCATACAGTAGTGGACAGGTGAATCTTTTGTTTTACTTCCTTTCATATTAAGATTTTAAAAAATACACAAAGATCCACATTTTTTCCACCAAATTAGTGTACAGATTTTTAAAAGTTCTCATTTAAAAACTGAACCAAATAAGTTTTGTGCACATGCATTTCACTTCACGTATCCTCTGCAAAATATATAATTTGGGAATACAGGAAATAATTAATAATTAATAACAACATTGTATGACATTACACTTGAATTTGTGACTTTTTCCCAGCGTGTTCTATATGCCTGACATGTAAAATTAAATATGGATTGCACAACCACTTCAATTCAGTCAGGAAATAGCTTCACTTGTTACAGATAACCAAACAAATTCTTGTAAATTGCAAAATATGCACCTTCTTTTTCTTTTCTTTTTCAAAACCTATTGTTTGAAGCAGATCCACTGAGAGTTACAAAATTATTATATTTATCTTTTTAAAAAGAAATGTTCATTTAAATGAGGGGTCCTTAATTCTTTCTAATACTTTATGTTAGTTAGGGAGAAAAGGAAAAGAAATTTATCATCCGTGTTCCAAAGAAGTACTAACAAATGAATGATGACATGCCTTTTCTTTCTTCACCCAACATGGAAAGGCTTAATCACTGCTTGTGAAGAAATGCTTTAGAAAAGGGTTTAATAAAACTCTCCAGATTCTTTTAAACTTTTAAATTTAGCTTCCCTCTTTCCTCGCCGTCTTCTTATGATACACTTGTGACTTTAATTTATTGGGACACTATTTGTAAATGCTGTGCAGAACAGATCTTTTTTCATACACAAGAAATGTGGAGATCGATAAACAGAAATATAATATCATTCACTCATCAATAATAGATATGCTAATACTTGATTACTTCATTCTCACTTTTGAGAATATAATTTCTATAATTTTCTCCCTGTTGTGAAAAAAACCTGAATATTTCTATATTGGTAGGTTACATACCTGTGACCATCTTTCTTCGAGTGGTGCTCTGCGAATTCACACTTGTGGAG